TTTACATTTTTACTCTCACCATGATACTAACACTAAGAGGGGTATTGTTATTGGATTCTATTTGAGGGCTCTTCGCATCTGTTCATCAAAATATTTAAATGATGAATTTACATATATTGAGGATACCTTTTCAAATCTTTCGTATCCGAGACAATTATTACAGAGAGCTAAAAATAAAGCGTTGGAAATTCACTCATCAGCGCAAAATGACACCTCAAAGGCCACTACAACTAGATCAACGAAAGATACAATTTCAGCTACCTCTGATAATATTTCGTTTGGTCGCATCTTTTTACCAAATAACCATTTGACCGAACGTATCTCTCATAATCTAAATGCATTAAAAATTAGAACTACTATATTACCTACTAGGACTATCCGTAGTTTATTAAATAGCACCAGCAGACAACATATTACATCCGATGCTTGCATCTATCAAATATCATGCAAAAATTGTGACCTAAAATATGTGGGTGAAACGGTAGGTCCTTAAAATCTCGTGTTTTCGAACATAAACGAGATATTCGTCTCGGTATTTAACAATGCTTTAGTTGTACACAACAACTAAAGCAGATCATAATTTCGATTTCGATTCTGTGAAAGTATTAAAATATTTTCATAATAAAAATCTCAGGAGGATTTATGAAGCAGGTATAATATCCATCTCACGCACGGTGAATACTAGACCTGGTTTCTTTAATATTTCCTTTTTTTAGCGAGATTGATGCTCGACAAGCATACACATAAGAATTTTAGAACCTAATAGAATTCTTTTTCATTTTTTTTTTTTTCATTTCAAAATAATCACAAACTTTTAGGAATACGTTATGAAAGCGTCGCCCATGTGACGACAGCGTGACCATGTTAGACGGAAGGCTGATCATTTTAAAAATTTTCAGTTATCTGTTCTGAATAAGACTTGTGTTTTTATGTCCATCGTATTTGTCATATTGAACTGAATTGTATTTTGATGAATATTGTCTTGAAAAAGGTTTATTAAACCGAAACGTCAGACGTCGACATTTCTTTCATTTAACTACATTTAAGGATTTTTTGTTTGTTTTTTCAAAATTTCTTCATTCTGTCGGATTTATATCCATTTACACTTGCTTTATATATATATATATATATATATATATATATATATATATATATATATACATAAAGAAATATAGTCTTAAGGTGTGCTATATTTATGGAATAAAGTGCTCAATATCAGAGATAGAGCGTGTGTAAATATAGTGAATATAGAAGTCAACACTTGGAAGACAGTTTGTTTCATGCTATATGCAATCATCAGGCCTGACGATTGCATATAGCATGAAACAGACTGTCACCTCTAAGTGTTGACTTCTATGTTCACTTTTATATATATATATATATATATATATATATATATATATATAGAGAGAGAGAGAGAGAGAGAGAGAGACGGGGAATGTGTGAGAGAGACGGGTGTGTGTGTGTGTGTGTGTGTGTGTGTAAAGATTTAATGTTTATTAATTCAAATTTTTGTATAGTGGAGACACCTAATTGAAAATAGATGTCTCTTTTTATTTTTTACTTTAAATACTGTATGTTTCGTATATTCACATGGGTATTCGGGAGATCTTTAAAGTTTCAGTTCGGCATGTATCTTTTGTAGGAAATACCACAGTTTCATCATGTATTCTTTACCGCTCAGCTACAAAGAGCGTTACAGATCAGCAAGGCGTTGTTTTCACATTTAAGGAGATTTCACTTATATTATATATATATATATATATATATATATATATATATATATATATATATATATATATATATATATGTCCCTGTCTGACGATTGATACTTAATATTGATGCCATATTCTGTGTATTTCTTGTTTTTTTTTTTGTTTTTTTTTACAGTTGGCTTCTCCCTTTACAAGGCTCGAGAGTCACTCAGGGTTACGTCAGAACGCACTTTGTGCGTATAGGAGCAGATGGTTAAGATTAACTCTTAACTTCAATAGACGAAGATTGTAACATCCTATTATAAGTCGGTTCCACAGAGCAGTAGTTCGTTGAAAGAATCAGCTCTAGTGGAACTGTCTTTTCACCGATGAAATACTCAGGGATTGTGCGTGGTTTGCTAACATGTAAGTGGCAGGACGTGTTCTTGTCATGAAGCTTTGCCTTGGCGGGACCAGGGAATGTACTTCGTCCGAGAACTTTCCAGGAAAGTAGCTGTAGAACAGCGAGATGTTTGCCACACCCCGCCCGTTGCTGAAATGTTAAAGGGTAGAGAATAATTCGTTACCCACAAGGGGAAGGATGGACTTTTGAACTCTATCAAATTTTTTTTTTTAGCCAATCGTACACATTTCAGTGCGATGAATGATAGTTTTGATATAACTCGGATATTTTCTTTTTTTGGCTATTTTAAGGGAGACGCTTCACATTACTTCAGAGGCTAATATAAAATTTATCTCAAGCAATGGTAATTAACTTATACTAACTGAAATTCAAAGCGAGTATCCAATTAATAAAACAAGCATCTCCCGCTGCAAAGTGGCGAGTTCCTATCTAGTTTGATTTCTCATTAAAGCTTTGCAGACATTATCATTAAAAGGAAATTACTCATAGTCTATTTTGTGTGCATAATTCAACAATTAAAGTTGCCTCAGTAATAAAATGTAATTATTTTAAAGGAATTTGATGGTGTCGTAATGTTTGTCGTTGCAGATACGGAATCGATTGTTCAATTTAATATTCCAACTATGATGATTTGCATTCACATTTTTGTCTATGGAAAAACATCAATTCCTTACTTTTCAACAGTCGGACAAATCCGTGGTGAATTCAACTGTAAACCACACTACTGTCATTTCCACTATTAACAGATAAGTTGTAGAGAGCCATGCTCAGTTTATACAGAATTTGTAGTGACATAAAAAAAATCATTGTTATCCTCATCTTCATTGCAATATTCAAAATGTTTCGGCCATTGTAGGCCCGTGATATTTTCAGTTGATTAGAATTTCGAAACTGTCGGGTCGTCTTCACTCTAATGAGGCTATTGTGGACTCTTCTACTATACTTATAAAGTAGTAGGAAAGTAAACCTCGGGGGAACGGTGATATAAAACTTTTCATTACTGTCAAACGGTCCGCCTCGAGCAGAGAGGAACCCGTGACAAGGATTTGCCGAAGGGGAAAGTTTCGTACAGGGAGGTAGACAGGCCCTGAACCCGTTTATACGGGTTCGAAGGGAATACTTTTGGCCGAGCCTACGGGCTCGGAGAACCCACGCTAAACCGGCCTTGTGGGGAGCCGTTAAATATAACGGTGATATAGACCGTTCATTACTGTCAAACTCTCTGCCTCGAGCAGAGAGGAACTCATGCCGAGGCTTTGCCGAAGGGGAAAGTTTCGTCCGGAGAGGTAGACAGGCCCTGAACCCGTTTATACGGGTTCGAAGGGAATACTTTTGGCCGGACCTACGGGCTCAGAGAACCTACAATAAACTCGGCCTTGTGTCACATACATCGCTCGTGGGGGGGGCTGTTAAATATTAACGGTGATATAGACTGAACGTTGGTCAATCGAAACAATCTCCTAAATCGTGTAACAAACCTCTGTTATATTTACTGTTTAATACACTATTTATCTGCAACCTCTTGTTTTGTTATTTTTTACTATTACTTGTTCACAACAGAACCGAACCCTTTATTTCGCCCACGGGGGTAGATTTTTCTAGTTCTACGTGACATGCCTCTTCCGGATGTCTCAGTTATTTCCCTTTAACTCAACTCTACAAGTTTTTTGGCTCACCACTGCTATAGACTGGTACTGAACTCACAAGTATTTGGGTCTAGTCACTGGATCAAACCAACACATTTATCCACTGGGCCATGTTTCCTTAAGGGTTCAGTTCAAAATTCCAATCACATGAAAATCCGGAGCGATCAAATACCGAAATGTTATGAATATGGCAGTGAAGATAGAAATAACATTCCAAATAATGTAAATAATTCTAAATACATTTTCATATTAGGTTTGGGCACCTCGACAATGTTTAAGTCTTAGCAAGCTTGTCTCTAGAGAAATTACCACTGAATAGTGAGTTCGAACCTGACTGGGTGACTCATGCATTTCACATTGGGCCATATCTGATCTACGCTTAGAGAAACCACATATCATATGAGGATTTGTCCATATACAAAATGTAAGTTTTGATATATGTACGATATATAAACTGTTCTATTTTGAAGAAATATATTCAGATGTAGAATTACCTTTCAATTTGATTTTTGTATTTTTTCTTCATCGTTGTTGTTTTTTTAGAAAGATTAGCTCAGCTTCAAAAGATGGATTGCAAACAAAAAAAAACTTGCAAAGATTGAGTTAGTCATACAATAGAAGCTGAATATGAGATTACAAGCAATAAGAAATATAACGGAGCGTTGTGTTCCTTTCAAAATTCTTGGAAGGTTGTCATATTTATATTCTAGAGAAACCAAAAATCACAGAAAAATCACAAAGATGTTTAGAAGCGAAACACATCATCGATTTATACGCGTCTGGTTGATATCAGTTAATGTGCTAAATGTTTAGTTCATCAGCGTTCCCAATATCAAAATAAGTTCACCTGATGAAGTGTAGCACCTGTATGTCTATAAGTCTGTGTATCCACGAAATAAAATATTTGGTGATGTCAATAAATGTCTTCATATTTTTTTCCAAATGATTATTCTCCAAGGTAAGAATATTTCAAATATTTTTTGAATATGTATCGAATATAATGTCCAATTGTTTATGCTAAGATCAAAACTAAATCAAATATTGTCATGCATAAAATTTGAACAATACCGCTTCAGCTTCTACATAATTTTTTTCTTAGAAGATACTGATTTTTTATTGTTACCAATTTTTTCCGCTTCTCTTGTTTACTTTATATGCCATAAATACCATCGGCCCTAATTCGTTTGAATCAAACATAAAAATAGTTATCAGAAGTATGAAAAGAAACGGTTTGTGTTATCCTTCTTTTGAAACAGAAAAAAAAATGGAATGGCAATGCGAGAAAATGATGAGAGAAAGACAAAACGCCTTGATGAAAGAGAATATAGGAATGTAGCAAAGAGAATATAGGAATGTAGTAAAGAGAATATAGGAATGTAGTAAAGAGAATATAGGAATGTAATAAAGAGAATATAGGAATATAGTAAGAGAAGATAGGAATGTAGTAAAGTGAAGATAGGAATGTAGTAAAGTGAAGATAGGAATGTAGTAAAGTGAAGATAGGAATGTAGTAAAGAGAATATGGGAATGTAGTAGAGAGAAGATAGGAATGTATATAAAGAGAATAGAGGAATGTAGTAAAGAGAATATAGGAATGTAGTAAAGAGAAGATAGGAATGTAGTAAAGAGAATATGGGAATGTAGTAGAGAGAAGATAGGAATGTATATAAAGAGAAGATAGGAATGTAATAAAGAGAAGATAGGAATGAGTAGTGAGAAGATAAGAATGTAGTAAAGAGAATATAGGAATGTAGTAGAGAGAAGATAGGAATGTAGTGAAGAGAATATGGGAATGTAGTAGTGAGAAGATAGGACAAAAGGAAAAAAAAATAAGGAACTAAAGAATGGTGGCTTATATAGGAGTAGCGAGGGTAATAAAAGGCGAGTTTGTGTAAAGAACAAATCCGAATACAAGGAAAATAGGTCTACTAAAATAAATAATGGTAGTTATATGAAAAAAGATGAAATTTTCGACAAGGAAGGAAAACGAAAAACAAAAGTTATTTCGCGAAATACACCCTTGTTTACTTACCGTTCTTTTAACATACGGTCAGTTTTAGACACACAGGAGTGACAGGGTGTAACAAATTCTTATTTTTTCTTCAGGGTAGGTCATTTTCAGTAGTATGCTATAATATGAACGTATTTTCGGTGTGTATGATGAAATTTGTTTGGCCTTAAAAAATATTGAGTCATCCGTAATTACATCAGATTTTTATCACGCCCAGACACTATTTTCTCGACTGTCGATTAGTGGTCCTAGGCTCATTGTCTTCGATGGACGTTACTCCAAGGATGCGTACGAAACTTCCTACGCTACACGAACACACTGGAAAGTCTTACCAATGAGCAAATCAAAGTAGTAACATGTGCACTGGGACATGTTTAATTGGAAAAATACGAAAAAAGTAAATAATAACGGAATTATTTGTTTCGTTTCAATTAATTTGCACAAGGGTGTAGTTCTTTGAGTTCATCTCGCACACATCCTCAGTAATGATTTATCAGAGAAGAAGACAAGAAGAGAAAAACAAGCAAAAAATTCGGGAGAAGAAAATGTGAAATATAAAGCAAGTAAGTAGCATTGATAAAAGAAATGTGAGAATGGAGGAAGGAGAAATAGGAAAGTCAGAGGGCATCGTAGTAATGTATATAAAGTTGAAAAGGAAAAAAGAAGTCAAACCGGGAAAATCGAAAACAGAAAGAAAGATAAAATAGAGATCAAAGACAACTGAAGTGAATGATGGCAATGAATAATGGTAGAAGGGGAGAAAATAGTAGAAAAGAAAATCGAATTGGAAGAGGAAAGAGAAGAAAAAAAGAATTTAAAAAAAAAAGAAAGACGATAGAAAGATGAACGAAATAGAAGCAGAGAAAGAAAAGGAAAAGAGGAAAATTTAAAGTCATACGAGAATAAAGAATAGCATGAAAAGCACGGAAGCTCTAAGAAAAAAATATCAAGAGGCATGAGACATGAGACACCTTAAAGGTGAAAGTGATTCTGAGTACTTTGCTTTTCAGGCGAGTGTATTGAACAAAAGGCTAACAGTCTCAGTGCTTTCTGTAGGTTTTGCTTCGAATTAATGGTCCCCTGACGAGAAGAATGGAAAGAACCAGGAAAATAAGAACTAAATATATTTAGTAGAATGGTGTAATCGAAGCGTTACGCAAATGAACTGATTCTAAAGAAAATGGCGCATGTCACGATGCTTTTAATTTTTGTCAAGAGGTGAATAGAAGTTTTGCTATTTGCACTTTGTGAAATAGGTGTGATGTATATTTGGCAGAGTGATGAATATATGAAGAAAGAAAAAAACGAATGGAATATATATGTGAGGGTGAGTGTGTGCGTGTGCGCGCGCGCACGAGCGCGTATCCGTGTATTTGAAATATATATATATATATATATATATATATATATATATATATATATATATATATATATATATATGAGAACACGCATTTAAATCACAGACATACAGAAAGACACAGACACGCAGACACACAGAGAAATACATATATATATATATATATATATATATATATATATATATATAACGATAAGTAAGAGCCTGTATTATTTAACATCTTCGAAAAGTTTTAAATATATATACAGTGCAACTTCGAGATGAAAATACCTCGGTTATCGAATAAAATTTCAGTTCTCGAAGAACATTGTCGAATTGAGTTAACGAGAACGGAATAATTTATGAGTCGATCTCTGTGTTGTATACATTCGTGTGTGGTGTTGTGCCTTTTTTTTTCAAATTTTATTGTACTGTTACTTTTTTCTCTACAGTGATTCCTATTGAAAAAATAGTTTCGGTTTACGAACATTTCGAGTTAGGAACGGCCTTCAGAAACGAAAAATTAGTGCACCAAGATTCCACTATATATAACGTCATCCACAGACAGACCGTTCCGCAGCTCATCAATGTGGCTAGACATCCGGTTGCCTCTAGCTAGGATCGAAACCTGACTGAATTGGTGTCAGTTGGAGATTCTACCACTAAGCCGTCGACGCACGGCAGGGACAAAGGTTTTAGCGTATTTATTTTTAGAAACACACACTGATCGACAGTGACTCAATTCACTTTTTGCGAAGAGTCTCATATATTATATATATATATATATATATATATATATATATATATATATATATATATATATATATATATATATATATAGATATAGAGAGAGAGAGAGAGAGAGAGAGAGAGAGAAAAAGAGAGAAAGATGCACTCGTAGAAAGAGAGAGTGTATGAACTTACAGTTAAAAACAGAATTTCCAGCCCAGGCATTAGTTTCTTCACAAAACATTGAGTTCATTGAGAAAGGTACAGCTTGATTACCACTTAACTTCATTTCAAAATAAGTAGGAGAGCCGACCGTGCTCTTTAAACTTGGCTGGTGACCAGTCTAACTGATGAATTATATAGATTTTAGCTCAGAAAGAGAAAACCTCTTCTATTCAATCTGCAATGTTTTAATGGTTGCTGGTTATCCGCTGCATCCCCTTTTGACAGCAGAACTTTTGACACTTCTCTATTTCTGGACCCCACAGACAGGCAAGGATGAATGTGTAAAACTGACAATCTTCTTCAATATAATCCCAAGCCATCTATTCAGATTATGGCAACGTCATTTTCTTGCTATGTGTGAGGACTTTTCCCCATTATCCTGTAAAAATACCAAATCTGGACATACACTAGCCATTTGTCATTTAGCTTAACTTGTTATGCAAGGAGATCATACGTCATTCGTTCTCATAAAAATGAACATCAAATGCTAGATGGTGACATCAGCATATATTCCAAGACTGTGGAGATATATAACTCAACATTTATGAGAAAAACAAAAAGCTGAAGATATTTGAAACCCTTTTGAAATAATGAAACGCAAAATAAAGTAATGACTTAAGTTAGATATCAAATATATTTAACTAGTAAAGGATGTATTTAGCCCAATTGAATAATAGCAATATAATCTTGTGTTATATTCCAATCATGCACAAGTGTCCAACACCATTTTAAAAGCAAATGAAATTTGAAAAAAAAAGCAACTATATATTTCTCTGATCGAAATTCTACATCACAAACTTTTAGTCAATATATTCTTTTGTTGAGTTAAGACAAATATTATCCGCACTTTCGTTATAATATATAAGTGTGCGGATAATTTTTGACATTCCTTCATAAATCATTTCGCCACAAGTAAGGCAAGAAAGCTACTAAGACGCACCGTGTTACTGAATGTTATATAAATAAAAACGAAACATTATTAAGGCGAGAGAATAATAAAAGAACAATAATTAAGACAGTAGATTGCATCCAACACACATATACTCAAAATCCCTTGTATGTAAATAGATGCGCAGAAAATTATTTAATATCGTTGATCTTTAAACAAGCATTTGATAACGGGAAGATACTGGCTAAATGTGCAATTTTAAAAAACATATATATGCATGTTCTTTATGATATAATCTATCTATCTTTCTCTCTCCCATTGTATATATATACTGCTAACAGTATCAATATATATATATATATATATATATATATATATATATATATATATATATATACTGCTAATAGTATCAATATTTATATATATATATATATATATATATATATATATATATATATATATATATATATATATATATGTGTGTGTGTGTGTATGTGTGTATTTTCACTTGAAGTCAGGAGATATATATATATATATATATATATATATATATATATATATATATGCAATTTTTTTTAAAATATGATTTCATCGCTACATAAGAGTTCTCATGTTTCAAAAACAAGAGCCAAAAATTTCAATATAATTATTCAAATTAAATTCAATTAAAGTATCAAGCTCTCTTTCTTCCTCAAGCGAATTTTTTTGGAATAACTGATCTTGAAGTTTACGCATCTTTATAATCATATTCAGTTGTAAAATTAATTACATTGGAAACATATGAAGCAATAATTTCAATAAGGGACGTAAGGGTTAACAATTTGTATGAACATATTAGTTACTTTCGGAAAGAGGTCAAGTCAAAATAGGGTTGGGGTTTTTATTTTAAAGGGAATGATGACATTCATTAGACGCATATCGTCTTGTCTGTTTCAGTGACAGAGAGTTATTGGCATTCATGTTCCGCCGTTACTTATGTATTGAGCACTGTTTTTTAAAAATTAGAACAAAAATACTAAAGAACTTACATGCCTAACGTGTTCTTT